GGACGACCTATCTGTGGATGAACACTGGGAAGTGGTAAAAAAGATTATCCATACAGCAATCTCGGATACCGTCCCTTTAGTCACAACACAGCCCAAAAGAAAGACGTCATGGTTGAAGAGAGGCACGCAACGTATTCTGCAAGCAAAGCGGAAGGCTTGGTTTACGTGGCGTGTATCTAAGAGTCAGACCGACCATGATGCATACCTCGAACTCAGGAACCGGTGTAATGCAAGAGTCAGGAGGGACAGGAGGTCATTCCAGGCTAACCTTGCTAAAAAACTCCTATCAAACCCTAACAACTTGTACCGATTCATGTCGGAAAGAAAACCGACAAACCAACCAGGGGCATGCGCCTTAGTAGGCCCAAACGGTCAATATCTGACTAGTCTGGAGATGGCTGAAACATTCAGTTCAGCCTTCGCTAAACAGCTAAACAGCAATGTGGATATTACAGTTACGGACCAAAATGGTGGCACCACTATTTCAGAGGAGGAAGACATAGCGACTACTCCCCAAATAAACCCCGCAATAGTACTAAGGAAGCTACAGCGACTCATACCTGGGAAGTCCCCAGGTTGTGATGACATCAGGCCATCTGTTCTGAAACAGTGCACCGAGGCTCTCTGTAGACCCCTGTGTCACTTGTTCCAACACTCAATGGATTCGGGGACACTGCCAAGGGAGTGGAAAAGAGCCATCCTTTCTCCAATCTTCAAGGGTGAGGACAGGCAAAACGCTACTAGCTATAGACCAGTAGCTCTACTCCCAGTGGTATCAAAAGTACTGGAAAGTATTATTGACGACCACATCAGGGAATATTTCGATAGGACTAATATACTACATGAAGCCCAACATGGTTTCAGAAAAGGCAGATCCTGCGTCACTAACCTACTGTCGGCTTGGGACGACTGGACATCATACTGGGACATGAATGTACCAGTCCATGTGGTCTTCCTAGACTTTGAGAAGGCATTTGACACTGTTCACCATGACCTCCTCCTACATAGGTGTGTACGTCTGAAATTAGAGCCTCTGTGGTTAAGGAGAGTGAAGTGTAACCTATTTCTACTCTTCAAAGTCATTAGGAAACACTGCTACAGTAACTCATCCATAACGTGGGAAAATATTAAATCATATCAGCTGCGAAACCATGACTACCTTGTCAAGGTGGCTACCCACAGAAAATCCATTAGGGCAAACTTTTTCACCATAAAATATTGCACTCTTTGGAACCAACTACCACCTGAAATAAGATGTTGTGAAAACCCTGATGGGTTCAAGCGGAGCCTAGAAAGACACTTTAACATGTCCACCCTAGCTCTTCTAAAAGACCACAACTGTTGATAGAACGGAAATTGACGGCCAGCCCAGTCTTCAGTATAGTCACATACGTATATCTCGACTCTAATACTCACGCAGCGAACGTTAACTAAATTACTGATTTCTATTCTCTATAATTTTCACTAAGTTGTGTTGGTAAAAGTAACTGGAAATAATTGTAATAGCATCCACACCTTTAACGTTTTACATATGTATATACTAATATAATAACACTTATTAATCATGCATGTTCAATTCTTAAATTAGATTGTCATTAAAATACTTAAAATGATTAAAATATTTATGCATCAAATGTTCTCTTGGTTTACCACGCTTGTTTACCTTATAACACTCAATTATTGAGCCTAATGTATTATTTGTTATACGAATTATATTATTGATTATACTCTTATCATATATGGTTTGATTTACTCTACGGCTCCCTGTAGACTAACTACCATTCTTCAGTATACACACACTGCAGTATTGTTAACCAAATGCCAAAATTTTGTTGGTTCTATGTTAATATCCTTTTATAATGTGTCTAGACACTTTACTTTGCAATGTCAGATGTTTACTATATATAAGTACTCTAAGTCCTGCCAACCGACCTTACCTTCAGTCCATACTACCTAAATTGAACCTGAACTATAGTGTTCTGCTAAACCTTGCTCCACTATTCACAATACCTATTCGTTTTACTCTTTAAGTTTTTGACTTCTTATAAAGTAATCTGTTCATTAGGATGCATGCACACATATATAATATGTTCGTAAAGATGTACGTGGAGACCTATTGGAAGCACTCATTAAGAAAGCTAGGGAGATGGAATATGGGGTACAAACATGTCTGGTACCAAGCAATATATTTGCGGTAGCCATAATAATCATATTCTCAGAGCCTAACATCAAAAAAGGAGGGAGGGTGGTGCTAGCTGATCAGTAGATATGGTGGTGGTCACTAAGGTGAATCACCCCATTCTGCAGGAACAGCAATATGTAATTTGATGGCCCGAGATTTCCATGATTTTTATGAGGGCTTAGATCTTTATCTTGGAAAAGATAATAATGAACGCCTTGACAGATCATGCTTCTACCTTTAAATATATACCATTCGCTCAGCCTATTGTTGAGATGCGACCACGTGGGATCTGCACAGATGTATGGGGCATCTTATAAATTAACTTGCTATCCACTGTCAGACCCTTAAATACCACTTCACAATATCTTGTCTCACTTATTTTCCAATAACGTCTTTACTTGATCCTCATTATATTCCATTAAACCTAACATTTTATAGCTCTTTATGAATTTGATTCGACTTATTCTATTCCTATTCTCTGGAGGGTACGGTTGTGCACCAAATAGACAAAAAGGCATGAAATAAAAACAACTGGCTTGAAAATAATTGTATTAAAGCCAAAATTGGACATCATGATAGTACAAAATATATTGGTTTTATTATACATTGCAAATGAACGTTGTCGGGCTGGGGGTTAATTACTTCCCCATTCTGTTTTCTATATAAATGTATTTATTAATGATATATTGCACACACTTAATTTATTACACTTTAATGATTCACCTTAGCACATTAACTTTTCTAAAACAGCTTCCAATCCCTTGTAAACGTTGTACTTACCTCAATATTGGTTGGTTATCGTATGCCTACAACCACGGGATGAAAGGGAAACGAAGTCGATTCTCCCGCTCAACCTGGAGGACAACTGTGCAACTCAATAACTATACGGCCTAGTTCAGACAATGAGTGTAATTATATATATATATCCAATATTTAACTGTTGAAACATTATTAACTTGTAGACAACTTAAGATTTGACATTATACCATACTTGATCGTGCCTGTAAAACTGGCATGCATTTTCATGTAAATTTATGTTTATATGAGAATAAAATTATTATTATTATTATAAAATAAGCCAGGTAGGCACAGGTGAGCCACTTCTGTCATGGTTGAAGGACTACCTAGCTGACAGGCTATTTTGCACTAAGATTAACCGAGTCCGATCATCTTGGCACAGATCGTCATCAGGAGTGTCGCAGGGTTCTATCCTAGGACCACTGATGTTTTTGATTTTCATCAATGATCTACCACGCCGTCTGAGCTGCCCGACTCTCCTACACGCTGACGACGTAAAAATATGGAGGGCGACGAAGTGTCCGGAGGACTCAGATAGGCTACAGGAAGACCTAAACCTTCTGGAAGACTGGGCGGTGGCCAGTGGCATGACTTTCAACTTCAAAAAGTGCAAAGTAGTGAAGTTGCGCACCTGTGGACTGCAGAATGCAAGTTACACCCTGTGCAACGAAAGCTTGTCCTGCACAACGTCGGAACGCGACTTAGGTCTAGTTCTAACGGAGAAAATGGACACAAGCGTAAATTACACAGGGGATGTAGCGAGGACATATTCGGTCATACACTTTACACACAGACAGTTAGGTGCACTCACTCCTGAGCTCTTTCTAATGTTACACAAAACATACATCAGGCCACACTTTGAGGTGCATAATATTATTGCGCCCCCAATGCTGAGAAGAGACGCCAACCCCTTGGAAAGAGTCCAACGACGGGTAAAAAAAGGAGTGGTTGGTCTCCGAAACAAACCATATGATGAAAGGCTGAAGAAATTAGGCCTGTTCTCACTTAGTTACCGTCGGCTTAGGGGGGATTTGATTACTGCCTGCAAAATAACAAATGACCAGAATCACCCAAACAAAGGTGTTCTGCCATTGAGTAGGTATAGGCTCCCACGTGGAAATCCCAGAAGGATAGCTCACCAGAGGGCGAGGACACGGGTGCGCTCCCACTTCTTTTCACTGCAGGTTTGCCGTCCCTGGAATTCCTTGCCGGCAGATGTAGCTATGGCACCGTCTTTGGACGCCTTTAAGCGAAGGCTGGACAACCATGCAGCGATACAAGGACTGCATCCAAATGGCCTATCTCTTTAAAATCGCATTTACCAATCAGGGGTAGACAACTAAACTCGTCGTTTTACTTCTTTACATTCTCTCCCGTCTTACTCTCCTGACAACTTATTAATATTATAATCACTATTATTATTATTCTTACTATTACCGATCTATATATTATTCTTCAAACCTAATGAGCTGACTGTTGTTACGTTTCCTATTTTCGTTTCTGTCTCTGAGTCTGAATAACTTCACTAATTATATCTATTATTATTATTACTATTATTATTATTACTATCTCTTTTCTCTTGTCGACGATACCGAAGGACTAACTGGCGAAAGGATCAACTCCAATCACAGTAGTAACAGTCTTAACATACCTCATACTACAAACCACATATAATTAATCCCAGCACTACTCCCTTTGGAGTCAACCAAAGCTACGACAGTCGAGTGGCGGGACAAGCTACGCAGAAGTCTACCTAATATCAGGAACCTTTACCTCACAATCAAGAAGCGAGCACAAAGAAATCAAATTGGTTTATACTGGCTCGTAAAAACGATATTGGATATTGGAATGTCATTCCTTCTACGAGAAACTACGTCTCGCCCTGTTGTTTGTGCTGCGATATCAGAAAGCACTTGCAGGATGTTGATCTGAGTGAAAACCCATATCATTAAGATAAAATAGGCTGTTCATTCTTTGTTCAGATGCCATTCACAAACTTGTGTTTAGCTAAGTAACAATCACATTATCAACATCGACGTATTTAAGAGCACTATTTGAATTTTTCTGCGTGCTTGTCGGGAGAATATGAATACAACTGGGTTAGAAAATGCCACTCAAGGAAATGGAACAGTAACAAATCTAGAGTTCAATTTGGACTCATTGGTTACCAATACGGCTTTGTTCTTTTTGGCTGTTATACCTATTTATATCGGTTCTTTCCGATCAACAAAGTGTAAGAAGAGTACTGATGAAGAGGTTGGTACTATCTTGTTTCACTAAGGATTTAGAAATCAGTTGAGGTTGTTACGGCAAAAGATGCAGCAATGTTTCCTTTCATTGCTAGTGCAGCACTCTTCGGCATGTACGTTGTATTCAAGGTCGGTTCGTATTTGCATCTCTACAATGTTATACAGTATGTCCCAATGCAATACATCAACTACGTTCTAAAACTACATTTCTCCTTTATGGGTACATGTGCAATGTCCCGTTTTTTATCGTAAGTACAATATAAACTAACTCCTAGTGTAGGCCAATCTTTCGACCGTATGTGCCGAATTGTATCCAAAATAACTGCTACAAGCTGGAAATTTCTAAGAGCTCAGAAAGCACAGAGAATGGTTCGAATTCAGAGTGGAAACTTTTAGGTAAGTGGTCATTTGTTTCTTCAATTAGTGTTTCAGATCGCTCAGTGTTCTCAATAGAAACAAAAGATTTCCTAGGTACAGGTGTAGCTATTTTAATCGGAATTTGGTATTTCGTGTCTGGGGTAAGTGAGATGTTAGTAATATTATTTAACAGCATTGGGTGGCAAATAATTTTGTCGCAGGAACAATAGCGATTTTAGCTATTGAATTTATTAGGCTGAATAAGTTTATAAACGGGATTTTATTACTTTGCGGATTGTTCATATACGACATATTTTGGGTTAGTTGAAGTTAATATTTACCGAATCGTGTAGGTCTTTGGAACTGGTGTCATGGTAGCTGTTGCCAAGAATTTGGATGCTCCAATTAAAGGTAAGTGTCTTTATCGAATCATTATTCTCTGTTGGTGGTTTTAATTCTGGCAGACTGAATGTACGTGGACTTTGTAAGACACTCAGTGTGTGCGCGTTTTCAGTTTTTACTGATTAAAAATGAGTCATTAGAAAAGAACTAGAATTCTGCGAACAGGATGAGTATTTCATTTAAAATATCCACACCCTAAACTTAGAAATATCCAGTTTTTCTAATAAGATAGACATGTAGTGTTTGTAGGTGAAGTAGTTAAAGCATGCGTATTAGTGCCAACGTAAAGTTCATGTTCGGTGGCACGATTGTTAGATGTAATATGAAATAGAATCAGCGAGTGTATAATTTATTTAACATCGTGGAATAATGCAAATGAAGTCGTGAAGTGAATAGTATAAATTCATTCGAAAGATTTCAAACAAACCAACTGACAGCGTTTAATTATCTATCAAATCTTTACAGAACTATAGCAGTTCTTCCAGAGCTTGTTGACATGCAGTTGTAAAACTAATTCTTTGTTGTTTTTTTTTACAAAATCTTATATTTGGGTTAAATAGATGTGATGTAAAATGTGCCTGATTTCTTAAGTTCACTGAATGGCAACTCTGGATGACGTATTCCTGTGTGTAATTTGTGATGGTCTCAAGTTCTCTTTTCTTCAGCCTTGTTAACAAGTGTTTCCTTGCATAGTTAAACAAAATTATATTGGGGCGTTCGAGTTTGTCTTGTTTCATTTTTCTCCCTAATTACCACTTAAACTTTATCTCCTTTGCACAAGACTATATACTACTGATTGGTTGAGATAAAGTGTACGTCATCATCAAATGTTCAAAATAAGTGACCTTCAAAAAGATGAAAGCAAGCGTCTCTCTCATTGGATTTAGTCATGGGTTATGTCAGTCTTCACGACGGGTGACATCATCTTGAAAGGTCCGTAATCGTGTAACATCTGACTGGAGATCGAGACCATGACAAAATCAAGGGGATCCCGGACTCGCATCGTGAGAGACAAGCGTACCCGTAGGCGATGGACACTAACTGTATCTTTTGGTCTCTAGGCTATACCCATTAATTGGGAAGTCTTATTTTAGTGAAGCAATACTTCCCAAATCACCACTTTACCTAAGTCTATGTATTCAAATACTCGTGCTCGTATTGGAGCCTATGGTGAGTTATCCATTAGGTGTTGATATGTAATGATGTCAGGAAGATCCATCCCATTTTTCGGTCAACTTTATAAGAATTTGTTTGCAATCTCTAATACTACATGAGACAACATGAAGTTTGGTGTCTCCGGGGATTCCCGAAGTGACACAGAAATACTGGCTGCTCAAAACCCTGGTAAGTGGGTTAGGGTTCAATCCAGTTAGCCACTGGTTTGAAGTCGATCATCTAAACCAACGTATTCCAGCTTCGCCCTGTTTAATCCATGAAAATGGTTCACAATGGACAGATAAGAGACTTTTTCCCGCGAGGTTTTAGAGTGATTTTTACTAGAATAGTTCTAAAGTTTCTTTGTATATGTTTTGTGAGTACTATTCAGACCATGAGTTTTATTTTCCGCAGAAGTACAAGTGATTGCTTCTCAAGGGCTATGAGCATTGTTCACGTTATTATGAGATGTAAAATTGACTAATAGGACAACTATCTAAACCTCCTTATGTGATATTTAGTGTGTTGCTTGAATTGACGTTGTATAAGTTAGTGTAGTGACTTTCTGTCCCTGTTCATCTGCTGAAATGTATCGTCTAAGATACTTAAAAAACTAAAACTTTATTCTTTTTCTTCCAGTTCTCTTCCCACGAGATTTCCTTATGCACGGATTTTATGGAAAACAGTTGGCTTTGCTCGGTCTGGGTGATATAGTTGTCCCAGGGATATTTATTGCTTTGCTTCTTCGTTTCGATAGAAAGTAAGTGGTGTCGTTAAGAATAAAATTTGCTGATTGTCTCTTTCTGATCCATTAAGAAACCCTAATGCTTTTCAGCATATCTTTCTGTTATACATTTCGGTATATTATTGTCATAAATGTTATTAGTCCCCAAGACAAAAAAACCTATTACATGCTCAAATTGTCATGTTTCTATTCTGTTGTCGTTGTTGAATACTATATATGCACAGATCACTGATGGTGTTGTGGAGCAAAGATTTTACTATTGGACATTACAGATTGAATAAAATATCATCAACGTTCCCACAAGATTTTGGTTCATAACCAAAGTCAAAATTTTCGAGCATTCATCATCCTTATGAATACTGTCTTTCTTCAGGTGTCTCAGGTTGTAGGGATTTGATTTACTCCAAATTGAATCACAAACTAACATCAGTCAGAGAACCGTTGTAAAACAGGGAGTGCCAGATAGGCGTTTCCTCCTAGTTTGAGATATCTTAGCAATACGCTTCCATGACTTCACCACAGATGGTGAACAATAGATTCCATTCCAGTGGCTAAAAATTCAATGTCTCATGAATTCGAATTTCTATCCATTCATGGTACCTGATCCTACCGCTAGTCAACGTGGTGGATCTTACTGGTCACAAATTCTAGCTAAAATTTCGTCATATAGTCATTAGTAAGCGGTAGATTCATTCCTTTTTCCACTTGTGGTTCAGTGGTTCCCTAACTGCTGGTCAGTTCATAATCAAATTTGAAATAAGCATTGTCTTTGACATTATCTTCATATAATCTAAACCAAGTATGCATTTCTTTTTTCTTATAGACTTGGACGTGAAAATAGTTGTGCTTACTTTTACTGTGGATATATTGCTTATATCGTCGCTATTATCACGACTTTTGTAATGATGCATGTTTTTAAACATGCTCAAGTAAGTAGTCAAGTTACTTTTGTGCATTTTTTTGTGTTTTTTTTGCCAGTTTCTCTATTTTTCAGGAGAAGAATCAGACTGCTTAGTGTTGTTTCTCATCAAATCATTTTAAGGCTTTTGCATATGGAGCACTGGAATACATAGTTTTTGTAAACTATTTATTGTGTGCAACAATAATATCAGTGAAAGCTACAAAGGTTGAATGACTAAAATATGGAAGCTAACTGTATTTAGGATTGAGCTCTATAATTAGTAACCTACTTAGATGTTCGTCTATTCAGTTATTTTCCGTATATATACACTACAGTACTAATTTATAAGTAAGACGATGTGTTTACTCTCTCTCTCTCTCTCACACACACACGGAAGTGTGTGGGCGATTATAATTTTTTTGGCTACTCACACCATAGAGGTAGGTTCTTTTTTGAAATACCTGGAACAGAAGTGGCATTAGTGTTACGTGACCGAAGAGCTCCAACAAGGGGGAACTGCTTGAGGCTGATCACAGGGAGTGCGGTTTGCTTAAAGTGGTTTTTAAAGTTATGTCTTGTATGAAGACCCTACTACTGGCTACGGACCACCCTGACAGAGAGTAAGTTACAATGTGCAGTTCTTGAAATCAGTATTTTCTAAACCCCTTTCACAAGGTACTAGTGCCAACATCGTCTGAGGGGAAATTCAGTTCAGTTATTCACTACAATGACCTTTGATACTTGTTCATTTTTATGTCTTCTCTAAGCCAGTTTAGCAGCTGCACAAGAGGAAACTTACGAAAAGTCTCCGCAAGGACCGTGAACAGTGGTGGGCGACAAAAGCCAAAGAGATGGAGAAAGCTTCGAGGATAGGCAACACCAGGCAACTCTTTGGACTCATCAGGGAAACGGGTGGGAGAAGACAAATCATCAGTGAGACAATCTCGGAAAAAAATGGCACTATAATTAGCTCCCAGGATAGACGACTGGATCGTTGGAAAGAGCATTATGAGGAGCAGTTTAATTGGCCCACAGCCACGCTCAACCTTCCGAGCATCCAACACCTCCCTGAATGGGATATAAACACAGGTCCTCCGTCACTAACTGAGGTTACTAAAGCTGTCACCAATCTGAAACTAGGCATAGCAGTGGGACCTGATGGAATGACTCCAGAGGTATTTAAGTACGGTGGAGACAGCCTACTGTCTGCATTAACTGAGGTACTAGGCAGCGTCTGGGAATCAGAAGAAGTCCCATCGGGTTGGTGTAAGTCACTGATTATCCCCATATACAAGAAGGGAGACAAGTCTTCCTGTGATAATCACAGAGGGATTAGCTTGACTAATATAGTATCTAAAGTCTTAGGCTCAATAATCATGCGTAGACTGAGTGGTGCTCGGGAAGCACAAACGCGAGAGAGCCAGGCAGGCTTTAGACCAGGAAGAGGGTGTATTGATCATATCTTCACCCCCCGACAGATTCTAGAACATAGGCATTCCTACCGGCGTCCAACAGTCATTATATTTCTTGACCTAAAGGCAGCATTCGACTCTGTCGATCGGGAAGTTCTCTGGAGATGCTTGGCTGTAAAGGGAATCCCGAGAAAATACATTGCACTGATTAAGGCACTCTATTCGTACTCATACAGCCAGGTGAGGGCTTACGGCGAGCTGTCATCTGAACTGATGACGACAAGTGGTGTCCGTCAAGGATGCCCATTATCTCCTTTTCTATTCAACTTCATCATAGATGTGTTAATGGACTTAACCCTAGGTGACTTCAGCGACTCAGGGATTGACTTGCTACCAAGGTGGGAATAATCTCGTTGACTTGGAATATGCAGACGATATAGTCCATCTAGGCGAAGACGCTGACGAAATGCAGAGTCTTCTAAACACCTTGAGCCGCAATCTACGGATGTTTGGCATGCGATTCGCTCCCGCCAAATGCAAGATGATGTTACAGGACTGGACTACATCGACGCCTAGTTTAAAAATAGGAAGTGAAGTGGTAGAGCACGTTGACCGCTTCACTTATTTGGGAAGTACCATCAGCCCCAACGGGTTGATCTCTGACGAAATCTCAGCACGAATACAGGGGGCTCGTTTCGCATTTGTTAGTTTACGCCGACTCTGGCGTAGACGAGATGTTCGACTATCGACCAAAGGGCGGGTGTACTGCTCATCAGTCCGCTCCGTCCTCCTTTATGGTTGTGAGACCTGGCCACTGAGAGTGGAAGACATGAAAAGATTAGCTGTCTTTGATCATAGGTGCCTGCGTTCTATCTCCCGTGTGAAGTGGCATAATAAGGTGAGCAACATGGAGGTTAGGCGTCGAGTTCTAGGTAAACAGGGGAAATCAATCGTCGTGAAGCTACAAAGACTGAGATGGTTAGGACATCTGTTACACATGCATGTCTAGTCATCGCCTTCCTCGACGGGCAATGTTAGCTGATATAGGGTCAGGCTGGAAAAGAGCTAGTGGTGGTCAAACCAAAACATGGCATCAGTCAATGAAATCCACAACAGTTGGTCTAAGCCACGTAGGAAGGTGTAGACTTCCTGACTGGTTGTTGTCTTCGGGACGGTAAAAACCAATGCTTGGAAACAATTGGTGACATGGCTCAAAACCGTTCTCAGTGGCGCAGATGCATCCACTCCCTGTGACTTATGATCTTCAATGAAACTGTTTTGTATTCCTTTATTACTCCTTTGTCTCACACCTCTGCTCACTGTTTCTATTATGCTTTTCTTGTACTTTCTTCTCTTGCCTCGCGTGCTACACGGAATGTGGCGACTTGAACTTCCGCACATTTGTGCAAAGTTCTATGTCGAAAACAGACAGACAGTTTAGTTTAGAACTAAGTTTTCTGTGATATATTCAGTGATTTGAGGCTATACTACAAAGAAACGTACACTGAAAAGTGCATGCAATACACTATCTGTATTCTGAATTGTATACACTTATCGAACATTATTCATTTACCGTTGTTTGTAAGTAATTCGTTGGCATAGTTGTTAGAACTCAATTACCTGAGATAGACTTCTTATTTACCAGTTTATGAGCTTCAAAGTTATTACCCAGGTGTTGACACTGAAGCAGGACGGAACAGTTGTGTGGTACTCCCTGGTTTTCAACATTTCTCTAACTGTTATCAATCCTTGATCAAACTTGAAGTAGGTGGAGTGTGATTCTACCTTGCGATCCATTGACTGGAAGTCTACTACTCAAGTAGATAAGCTGCATGTTCTTGACATAAACATTCTCATCACCTGCATAGATATGATAAGTTGTGTATACAAATGGCCGGTAAAGAATTGACTTTTTCAACTGATAAGAGCATATTTAGAAAGCAAAAAGATTCAGCCAAGAAATATTTACTTTTTATTTAGTAAATATTTCTTTACTCAATCTTTCTGTTTTCTAAAGAACATAATTTATTCAAGCTTTTAGCAGTTTAAACCTTGAACATACGTAGGCAGTCACAAGTTGTGAAACTTTAAGCCAACGTTATCACTTTCAAGTGCCTTTATTGTTGCACATTCCCGGATTTGATCGTCTTTGGAAGAGACACAAGCGATAGGACTGATAAGGGTGAATGTGGTGTTTATAATCACAAATTATACAGAATATTTACTACATGACAGGTGTTGCTTTGATCTTAGTGTATGTTAATACCATCAGTCATGCTATAATAAGGGCGTTTTCTTCTTCATTGTCTGTCGCTTGTTCACCGCTCTTCGGAATGATAACCCTTTGTCCTCTTACTTCTATAATGCCTTTTCCATGTTTTGTAGCAATTAAGATTGCTTTTGATAGTCTATTATTCTATGTACTGTTTGTTATCGGTTTACTGTGTAGGAAACAGCTTAGTACATCTGCTGTGGACTGTTAGCTTTGAAGTGATTCAGTATACATATGTGAAACTGTAGCTCTAATCTACAGGTTTGAAATAACTTGACCTAATTATTGTAAAGGCTACTACCTAGTTTTTTTTCCTTCACGTTTCCGTTGGAAGTTTCTGTAGCAGTGTTTAATTTTACAGGATGGGGTTGCTAGCCTCATGCCCAACCTTTCCTCTTTACCAGCTTTTTATTTCTGGTGTAGCGAGGTAAAGATGCGTGCGTCGGCCGGGGATCGAATCCCGGACCATCTGCATGGTTGGCGGGCGTCCTAACCGCTGTGACACCGACCCACATACAACCTAGTAGACAGACATATCTGAATATCCTTCTTGAAGAGGTGTTTTTAAACAGCCCAACATAGGCAATTTACTAAGGAGTGATACTCTAAAAGATAATGTCAGCTGAAACAGTCTAATGAAAGCACGTCCATTGTGTTGTGCTTCGCAATTTTTAGTATTGCTGTTTATTTCAGATGTCTTAAAGTGATACGATACAGTAGCAAGTTTTCAGAACTTATTCCTTGTTTCATCCCTTTGCCTTTCAAGTGGAACATATGGCTTCAAGCCATGAAGTTTTGGTAGGGTTGATGTTCTTTTACTTTTTACGGAGTGGGGTTGACGAAAACCTTGCCTCCTAGATCATGTGCGTGGATGACGAGAATTCTACCATTGAATCCTCGATGCACTTGATTTTGCGAATAAACAAGCAATATTCTATCACTGTTTTGACTTGACATTAGTAACTAGTGTGATGCGTCTAGTCCTCTGATTGGTGTAGACTGAACTCTATCAGTCAGGTTGTAATGTCACCACCATTCTAGCTAGCTCGCCATCACGGTGCACATTGATTTGATGATATTAGACGGTTGGAGGCAATCGGGGGGAAGCCTTGGACCTAGGTTTCGTGCTAGTTGGCACTCGTCAGCGTGGCGTATCTGCAACCTTGAAAGAACTCATGTCCCTTCTGAGATTCGAACCCTATCACTGTATATTGCATAAAATAAAAAAAATACAATATGGCATTACACTTTAATATATTGTTGAACTTCCTTATTTTATTATTAAGGAGATTTGTTGATATTCTTAATTATTGGTTCTCTGAGTTTGACTAGTAGTTTTTGTCAGATATTATTTTCACTACTCTTATCATATTTAGTAGTATAGTATATTGTAGCAAAAGTTTCTAACATGCTATTTACAAGCAAATATGCCAGGCCATTCCGTGTATATACATAGCGAACCATAGATAATTGTTTCAAGCACTATTGGTGTATTCCCTCGACATTTCTGTAGCATCTGCGTTTGTATTAAATACAAACTCCCTGTCATTAGCTTGTTAGTATTATTTTTGCCTAAACTGGTTACAAACTTATTTCAGTTGGAGGGTGATTGAAAACCGGTGAGTACCGGATAGCTGTGCTTTGTCCTCGTTGGAAACTCTTAAGCAGTATGCACCCATAAACCCACCAGGGGTTGAATGCAGGGTCTTTGAGTTACCGTAAAAATGTACACAGTATTAGAGGCTAAACAAAAATAATTAAAGTTCATATATGAGATATATTGCCTTCATCTATTATATACTAGTTAACCGCCCATCGGTAGGATTTATATGGAGTGTATATGGAGTGTGTATATTGGTATTCTCAGTTGTTAGTATTATCGTGTGTAAAAGTCATATATATGTAATTGGGATTCTAAACACACCGTATAACCAATTACACTTATGAACACTTTTGAGTCTTGCGCCTACGCTCTATGGGTGCACTGGATTTCTGTATATTACTCGATTATAATCTAATGTGTAGCCAACTTATGGAGACATAGTTCTTCGACTTAAACACTTGACTTTCAGATGATGGCTCACCCGTCCCAGCCTACTTCAGCCTGGAAGGGGGAGCAATTGGACAGTAGTGTTAGTCGCCATACAATAAACGTGGCTCATAGTCTAGCACATAAAATCTACCCCAGACAGCTGAATTCTAAGACCAAATTATGAAATAGTTTTTGGGAAAAACTACTATATTGAATGTTGAAGTCACAAAGTAGATATTAAGCTAAACTAGGATGAAACAGCTGGCTGTCCAGTACTCCCCAATGGTTCTCTAACTGATAACAATCCGTGATCGACTCGTAAAAAGAAATATTAAGCTGTTATTAGGTATAATTATTAATTTCGAATTTCTCGTTTGAAACGATGGATATTGGGGTTCAGCTCTCAGTGGGAAAACAACCATTGGGAATCTAAATACATCTGGCTGACGATAAGTCCGGAATTGGATAAAAATGAACATCTACTTGATCTCACTATTGGCTACTACTCACTAAATAATACACAATTAGGGTATACATCCGTTGATAATTTCAATGGTAGAATGCTTGGCAGTCATGAGGAATTTCTAGGTTTGATTCCCAGCAGATGCACTTCTAACCCCATCACCTAATCGATAATAAATCCGGGAATAAGGAGAAGTTGACAGTGAAGCTAGCAAACTAACCCCTTCAAAAAAGCAACACTTGCTGCTTAGACTATAAAGTTTGAAGCCGTATGTTCGACTTTGAAACGTGAAGGAATGGAGAAAAGTGTTTGCCTAAGTTTAGGCCTAGTAGAAATGAACTGTATTGAGGAAATATCAAACTCATAGCAGAAAGTCTATCGATAATTCAGCAAAAACATAATTCCTAACCCAAGTTTTCATAGTCCTAGACCTGGCCACTGAGAGTGGAAGACATGAAAAGATTAGCTGTCTTTGATCATAGGTGCCTGCGTTCTATCTCCCGTGTGAAGTGGTATAATAAAATGAGCAATATTGAGGTTAGGCGTCGAGTGCTAAGTAAGGAGGGGAAATCAATCGATGAGGCTGTGAAGTTACATCGATTGAGATGGTTAGGACATCTGTTACACATGCATGTCTAGTCATCGCCTTCCTCGACGGGCAATGTTAGCTGATATAGGGTCAGGCTGGAAAAGAGCTAGTGGTGGTCAAACCAAAACATGGCACCAGTCAATGAAATCCACAACAGTTAGTCTAAGCCACGTAGGAAGGTGTAGACTTCCTGACTGGTTGTTGTCTTCGGGACGGTAAAAACCAATGGTTGGAAACAATTGGTGATATGGTTCAAAATCGTTCTCAATGGCTGGTACAGATGCATCCACTCCTTGTGACTTATGATTTCCAATGAAACTGTTTTGTTCTTCGTTATTACTATTCCTTTTGTCTCATGTCCCTGTCTACTGTCTCTATTATGCATTTCTTGTACTTTCTTCTCTTGCTTTGTGTGCTACAAGGAGTGGAGTGTGGCGGCTTGAACAGGCGCACATATGTGCAAAGTTCTATGTCGAAAACAGACAGGCAGTCTATTTTTACTGGAAGATAAAATCTTGTTAGCTCAAAGATTCAGTGTAGGCTCCGATAGTAATATTCAATCCTGTGTGCTGTATATTACATCTGTGACCTGTTTTTATGTTATTTTCTCATCTTATCTATCATATAAATAATTAAATTTCTAACTAAGTTTAACGGATTATTTATATTTTCCTCTTTTTTTCATCTAGCCAGCATTACTTTACCTGGTCCCAGCGTGTTTAGGTGCACCATTACTTATGGCTCTGGTGAAAAATGATATCACTGCTATGTTCAGGTAAGCTTTTATTGAAAAATATTTTAGAAAGTATGCTTACCCAGCTTCAGTAGCACATCTCTGCTCTACTCAATTCTCTACCATCTGAGTGAAGGGATCGCCTACACGCCATCATTTCCTTTTATTCGCATGATCTTATTTATGTTACTCTCGGTTACCCAACCCACTGCTTCCTATTCCGGATAGACGTGTCTTAATGTGGAAAGTCGTCTTTTCAAAACACTGAGGAAAATAGGTTAGGTCTGTAGGACTGTATAACTGTGCATATGTTCAACTGATGAATACACCTACACGGACAGTTTTGTACGACTATCAAAACAAACCAGTAGAACAAGACGGTCGGCATCTTTGTGCTCAGTCTCAACCGAGTACTACTCCTTCAAATCTCTAACATATCGTAATCTAGCAGCACTTCTGTGAATGATTATTTTACTTATTTTTATTTAAACGCATAAAAACTTGGTACAATACGGCACCAAGAAGGATGCGCCACACAATAATAATAAAACAACATAGATCAAAAGAAAAAAGGAAGGAAAAGAAAAAAATATATAAGTGGAGAACGGATAAAGAACTTCATCTGGAAGGAAAACAGTCATGCTTAACAAGTTCAAACAATATTCGTTAACTATCATCGGGAAGGGAAGAAAGAAGGAAACTGCAACACGTGTAATAGCTCGCGATAAGTTTCATTGATTGTTGCTTTATTCAATTGATTGTGTGAGGGCTGAGATACTGCCCGGGCGCCCAAAGCGAAGCAGGTGATTTTATTAAAAGACCCCCCCCCCCGAGCCTTTAACTTGGAGTCTAATCCGGAAGGCAGCGGAGCAGCGTCAGGATCTGCATTCCTATGGTTGCCGGTGACCCATATGGGTTCATACGCCATTTGATCCGATTGGATACTGGAGCCCATGTACCCCATGGTAACTGCTTTTAGTTTAACCGCTATCCGAACAACCTTCCTGACATGGTAGGACCTGCAGGGACAGAGTCCCAGTCAGTTTAGCATGTTGGGTCATTACGATATTCAAGCCCGACCACCACGACAAGGTAGGAGTTATCGGCCGGGACTTTTGTGAAAGTCTTGACGCTATTCAACCGGTCTTTTTGATCGTAACAATTAGACCCTTTTTGATAAATTCAGAAGACAAATTTCGCGAGATGATATCACTTCTTAGCTTTGTCTTCTTAATGCCATATATATGTATGTATAATTTCTCGCTGATTTGTGTGAAGCGAATTAATCGCCCTAATCTTAGTATAATATGCGCAGCCTAAACCAATGCTTAGATCATTGATAAGCATCAGGATTACTAACTCTAGGATGCTTGTTTGGTTGTTGGCTATCGGTTAAAAACCCCATTCAGGAATAAATTTGAAATTATGACTCGTTTTGCAAAAGGTGGTATTTATAGCCCTGCCCCCCCCCCTCGGTGAAATGCTTGGAGTTGAAACTAAGAGTAGTGAGAATGCTATGTAATGTTTATAGGAATGAAATAAAATACAATCCGTACAAACCCTTCTCCCCTGTTTTGTTTCATTGATAATCGCATAAGAAGAGGATTGATTATGCATTCTTGTGGAAGTAATCTAACACACAAAGACGCACACACACACACACGCAGCCTCAATGTTAAGCCATCCATGGAAAGGATATAAAGTAGAGTTGTTTGAATGGAAATTATGTTCAACTTACCCATAGATACTTTGTTACATGTATATATTTTGAAAATCCCTATTAAGTCATATGAAAAAGAGAAGACGTTCAGCGAAGAGACCCTTTTCGAGTGCGAATTCATTCACATAGCTAGCTGTACAATCGCATTTGTATGTAATTATTTGTGTGTGTATGTGCACATGAGGTTTGTTAAGTTTAGATAATTGATCAGGTAATACAAAAATGATCTAATATAGAAATAAGGTTAATCAGACAGCAATTAAATTAAGATTGAGTTAGTTATTAAGTTAGATGACGTGATATAATTGACTAAAATGTTTCAGCTTAGGTCAGGATAGCAACAGAGGTGATTACAGGTAGAGACTAAGTAGAAGTGTGGTAGATAATGATGCCATTTAAATTAGAACTGAAATTGAGCAAATAAGTTGGATGACGTAACATAAATGACTAGAAATGGAGCGTTAAGTTAAGTCAGTAACAGTGCCAGTGAGGTACAGAAATTAATTCGACTAGGGGTAGAGAACACGAAAGTTGAAAATGTAAAATATTACGATTGAGATGACAAAATAATACTAATAAAGACTCAGACAAAATACACCTTAGATAGGATTTACTTGTCGGGCGATAAGATAGATTACGTCCATTGCAAGTGTAGTGATTGAACGAACTTCTTCTGTATGCAGAGTTTATGACTTAGCAAATGAATCGCCATTGCTTCTGCAGTTTGAAGAAGCCTGATTCGTACACCTTTAGGGAGACTACTTCTTACTCTGTAGACAACTTTGAAGTTTGTTTGCGGTGTAACTTAGTGTCCTGATTCTATCAGATGTTCTAAGATGGAGCTGTGGGGGCATCGTTTTTCTCCTCTGTAAAACCATGTTGGTAGGTGTTCGGTGATACGCTTTGAAAGCGAACGCTGAGTACGGCCGACATACCTGGCTCCATACAAGCAGGTGAATCGATAAATACACATTGATGAGGCCGGCCAGCAGTGGTAGCTTATCCTTCACGTTCACATGAATCATGGGTTTTGTGGAGAAGGTTAGTCGTAGTTCAGTTGCACAGAAGGTCTTCTTAAGTGAGCGCGACAGTTGATTTTTTAGTGTTATATGTCCATTGAATTGAAGGTTCATGCAGAGTAGTTTTTTCGGGACGCTAAGCATCGACGGCTTTTGTGGTTTAGGATTCATAGATTTTGCAATAAATCTTCCTGGATAACAATTCTCGACGTGGATCCTCTTGAGATTGTCCAGTTCATCTTCTATGGTGTCCGAGGTATAAATTCTGCGAACTCTGTAGCTGAGTGAACGGATCAGGCTTCGTTTGGTATATAGGGTGGATACCCAACTGTGAAAGTTAGTAAGATGTCCATTCCACGTCGACTTTCTGTGGATAGATTATTTCAGTGTTCCATCCTGTTCTCGTCTTGTTAGTTAGACATCAAGAAAAGATATTTTGGAGTTGGACTCTTTCTCCAGCTTGAACTGAATCGCGGGGTGGCAGTTGTTCAACGACTTCAAGATGTCTAGATTTTCTTCATTGTTGAGACGGTAATGAATATATATATATATTCTTGGCACAAAGAAAAAAAAACAAACATTTCCGCTTCACCTAAATTTGCCTTTTTCAATATGATTAGTTGCTTCAAAGCTTATTTTTTATCGGTGTACATTCTTTAGTTTGGATTACTATAACTTTCTCTATGTTAAGATAAAATATCGAGAAGCAATGTAAAATGTACGCTTTATCACACATTCTTATCGGCAAAATGCAAAGTCATACACACACACACACACGGAAACACAACGGTTAACATTGTTGACTGAACTAAAACCTGAATATGTACACATAAACTCTATTGATTATTTACATTAGTGTATGCGCTGTGATAGATACTTCATTACCTATATTGCACAAAAAAAATATCTCAGTATAAATGAAGAAAAAACTGTGCACTTTTTGCTTTATTTACCACTCACCTGTGATACTAAAGGGATTTCAAAAACTCTGTGTTAATTAATAAAACAAAGACATTCATTATATAATCATATATAAGATAGGTAGGTACAACATAATATTCAGTTCATTCTTAAAGTATGATAATATCTCATCAAATTATGACCTTAATGACTTTATCTATATTATTTTAATCACAATTGACCGTGACTAGATATATAATTAATAAAATAAATAGCTAAGCTCCATGTACACGTGTATACCTTTGACTACATTCTTCTTGTTGTAGCTATTATCGTCATTAACATTAAGTTCATGAAATCATATGACAATTTCTCTCTCGTACTATGAAACAAATCGATAAACAGATAGGTTCATTAACAAATTCATTTGGTCGAAGTCGACTACACGGAATACTTTTAATCTTTATATATATATATATATATATATATATATATATATATATATATATATATATACGTTCTGAGTGAAACATAAGACTTCAAGCTAGAGCTTTGATGTTTCGGTAGCCCTTCCTTTTTTAATGTTCTTACCACTGGCTTAGCGAGGTTTACGAGTGCGTTGGCCAAGGAACGAACCGACTGTCGACCATAGGGCGGGTGTACTGCTCATCAGTCCGCTCCGTCCTCCTTTATGGCCAGTTGTGAGACCTGGCCACTGAGAGTGGAAGACATGAAAAGATTAGCTGTCTTTGATCATATGTGCCTATTTGTTCTATCTCCCGTGTGAAGTGGTATAATAAAGTGAGCAATATTGAGGTTAGGCGTCGAGTTCTAGGTAAACAGGGGAAATCAATCGACGAGGTTGTGAAGCTACATCGACTGAGATGGTTAGGACATCTGTTACATATGCATGTCTAGTCATCACCTTACTCGACGGGCACTGTTACCTGATATAGGGTCAGGCTGGAAAAAACCAAAACATGGCACCAGTCAATGAAATCCACAACAGTTAGTCTAAGCCATGTAGGAAGGTGTAGACTTCCTGACTGGTTGTTGTCCTCGGGACGGTAAAAACCAATGGTTGGGAACAATTGGTGACATGGCTCAAAATCGTTCTCAGTGGCGCAGATGCATCCACTCCTTGTGACTTGTGATTTCCAATGAAACTATTTTGTTCTTCGTTATTACTCTTCCTTTGTCTCACACCTCTGTTTACTGTCTCTATTATACATTTCTTCTACTTTCTTCTCTTGTTTTGTGTGCTACAAGGAGTGGAGTGTGGCGGCTTGAACAGGCGCACATATGTGCAAAGTTCTATGTCGAAAGCAGACAGACGAGGATCGAACCCCGGACCACGTATATGATTGGCGAGCATTCTTCCTTCGAACCACCAACGCATATATATATATATATATATATATCGTTAGTTGTAGGTGACGATTTCAGATAGTTGGAGGCGATCGGCAGGAAGGGACAATAGTGAGTTCTTTCAAGGTGGCAGATACGCCCCGCTGACGAGTGCCAACTAGCACGAAACCATAGGTCCAAGGCTGCCTCCAACTATCTGATATCATCAAATCAGTGTGCACCGTGATGGCGAGCTACCTAGGAATGGTGACCATATTGCGAAACCTGACTGACTGATAGAATTCAGTCTGCACCAAAGAAAGGACTAGACACATTACACTAGTTACGAGTATCCAATCAAAGTAGGTGATGATTGTTTATTGTGAAACAGCCACATTGGATTGGCTGCAGACTCTGTCGTTGATAGGATGAGTGTGTGGAGCGTCATGCGTACAGATCCTGCTCTCTGTTTACCGAGGTTTGGGCATTCACGTGGTACCACCAACCACACACAGACACACACAATAGGTATGGCTCAACGGCAACCTCATGTATACGCAAGTAGTTGTTGAATAACCTAAATTCTATAGTCCTTATTATTTCTTTTTAAGAATTATCTCAGGTGAAATTTAGTTTCCTCGCTTACACTTGCTGTAATGCATGTATTAGTAATAAATTTCTTAATATTTTCAAAGTGATGGGTGCTTGATTCGAGCCTCACTAGGAAACCAATACACCCAATCAGCTAGCTAACAACTGCCCAAGAGACTGAAATGTGCATCCTCAATCCTACTGCTAGCCACGGTCAAACAACTAACGTCGGGGAATCTATTCAAAGTCTCATATTACTAAACATTAAGTCTAAATTATATACATGGGAAATCATAAAAAAGTGTAATAATTATCTCAGTTTTCTTTCTGCTAACTTGATCTCTGTCTTGTATACTTATACTTATATTTTCAGTTATGAAGATGAACCAGAATCTGAAAAAGCCAATGAAGCTGATAATTCAGTTTCAACTGACGACAAGAAGACAAATTAATCATCCTTCCTACTGACGTCGAATTCGCATCATTTAAAAACAAAAAAGACTGACATTTTAAAAGAAGATATAACAAGGAAGAGAGGAAAGAAATTTACTTCAATTCTCTTTTGTAATAAATATGCTAAGTAACTGATTTTCTGACTACGCATTCTCATCTGTTGTGTCTGTGTGTAAATGTGTTGTTTGTCGGTGTTTGTTTTCTTCTTGAATTTTTGTGGTTTTCAACTTTTATTTGACATAACTTCCACAGAGACAATGCTTATGTCTTTCTGCCTTTATAAGTATTATCATGAATATGTTTTGTTTGAAGTAAATTTTAAAGATTGTCATCGCTCTGTCTTATAACATACAATATATGCACTTCTCCAAGGATTATTATTATTACTATTCTTTACTTGTGTTCGGAGTGGCACATAAGGCTTCAACAGTACATCGCGATATTATCCTCTTCTGTGTTGTCCTTTATATTTGGCTGCGCAATGGAACGTTAGGTGTCATTTTCTATCTCCTTCATGTGTCACCCTCAGACACCTAACCCATCGTTTCCCGTCCGCGTTCAACTCTAGGGCGTAATTTCACACAAGGGTTTCCTCAGCGTGTCTCCGGATTATTTCCATTTTCCTTCTGCCTTTTTGTAGAGCATTAGGTTCTTTACTGCTTTTTACTTTTAACAGGGTGTAGGTATTCATATGCAATTGTTCTTTTTAAAGGAATACTAACTAAATACTATCGATTCGAAAACTTGGATTAGCTTATCATGCTGAAAGTGTTTGGCTTATGGACGGTGCATATACTACTACTACTACTTGGAAGGAAGGCTACCTCTTCAAGCTACCAAAGAAGGGCGACCTAGGCCTGTTCAAGAACTAACGTGGAATAGTGTTCTTGTTTACGCCAAGTAAAATACTAAGTCGCTTTATCCTGGAAAAAATGAAAGATGCACTGGATACAGAACTCCACCAGTCCGAAACAAGCTAGATTCAGAAAAGGCGAATCATATGCTGATCAAATTGCAACTCTAGGCATCGTTATCACAGAACACAGCATAGAACGGCAGTCAAACCTCTACCTGGACTTCGAAAAGGCCTTCACCAGACAGCTTCGACTGAGAAGTAATTTGGAAACTACTTCAACACTATGGTGTGTCTCAAGTGTTTATGAACCTCATTCAACAGCTGGCTATATGACAGTGCCGCGTGTCAAGTGGTGCACAACGGAAAACCCAGCGAGGCGTTCGAAGTGCATATAGAAGTTGGACAAGGTGATATTCTTAATTGTGGTGGGCTGGTTTACGCGTCAGACTGTGGGGAGCAAGGAGAAGACTCTAGAAGATCTGGATTTCGCAGATGATATGTGTCTAATGTCACATAAAGTCAAAGACTTACAGGTGAAAACCAGCGAATTGGCTGAAGAAGCAGCGAAAACAGGATTGCAGGTGAACGTAGAGAAGATGGAGATGATGAAGATAACCCACGAACCACAACAACCAGCGCCAGTCACTATCAACGGGAGAGATTTAACAGGTTACTTCCCTCACTTATCTAGGAAGCATCGTCGCAACCACGGGCAGAACAGATTAAGATGTCAAAGTCAGAATCGGAAATGCAAGATACACCTTCGTCAAGCTGAAACCAGCTTGGAAATCTTCTGCACTTGACATAAGGAAACAGATTCTGGTCAATTCTTCTCTATGGGCGTGTCACGAAAAGGATTTCCAACAGGCTACTTTCGCTTGCTGTTTACCGAAGTTCAAATGGCTACAAAGAATAAGTAACAAGAAATTGTGGCAGCAAACCAACCAAGAGCCGATTGCTCAACAAATATGTAGGAGAAAATGGAGATGGATCGGACATACATTAAGGAGGTCGCCTAGTGACATCGCGCGCCATACCATCACTCGAGTGTAATCCCAATGGAAAGCGATAAATGGGTCGTCCAAGAGTGACATGGATGAAGAGATGAGAGATTATGGGCAATTGTGGACCCAGCTGAAGAGGGCACCACCAAATAGAACAAAATGAAAAAGTGTCATTGAGGTCCTATGTCCCACGCGGAACCCAAAGGCATAATAATATGCTACTCCTCCTAGAGCATCACTATTCGATGTAACTTAAAGATTTCTCTTGAGGGATACGAGATTCTAAGAAGTTGGACGTCTTAACAGTACCTTCGAACTTTGTGCTGCAAGCAGAAATGCGAAGAAGTCTCTTCGACAATAGCATTCTCATGTTACTTTTCAGGGATATGTCTGAATGCTCGCTTAACTATTAATTATGCAATGTTTTACTATTGGTTCTCGTAGAACTTCACTAGTTTTCTGCCTTCACTCGATATCCTTACGTCGATGTTTGTGCTGTGTGACGATTGTGTCGATCACCTCAATTATCTTGGAAGTTGTATCAGAGCTAATGAACCAGTCGCGGACAAAACTCAGTATAGGTACGAAGAAGCCTGTTTGGCACTGACCAACTGGTGTTACCTACACTGATTAATTACATAACTGGATACTACTATACAGAAGGCTACTGTATTCTGGCTGGGGTCATCAAAGCGTTAAGGATCAATGGCCAGAGCCTAGGTAATATGGCATTCACCCTTTGTAATCTCCTAGATCGACTAACATCTCATGTTTCTTTATGTAATTATTATTTCTTCCGGACATTCCTGCTCACTATAGTTCTTTTGAATCTTTCCTAGTATTAAGGAATATGGGATTTGAGCTGCTGCACTTCTGTGTAAGTTTCTATGCCTAAAACTCAGACTGTATCTTTTCGTATTGGTGTGAGACATAGTGATTCGGGGTATATGTAACAAAAACAAAAGTCTTATTCATGGTAAAATCAACGTGGTAACTAACATCTATACTAGGTGGGAGTTAAGCGAGTGAAGTGATGAGGTTAAGTGTACACTGTTGAACAAGCAAGGGAAGTTCATCTGATATGACTGGGATACCTGCTACTTATCCTATGTCCTGTTTTCAATAACCTTGATTCTTAACTGTAACAGGACCGTTTGAGATACCTAGGCACATGTAATCTCTCTCCCTAAAGATTTTAAGAATCGGTGTTTCTTAACTCTTTATGCAATGGTTTGAAGTTGTCAAAAATAGCAAGAATGTATTCACTTGTCATCATTTCCGCGTTTCTGTATAGTATTCTTCAGTGTCTCACATAACCATTTTTGGCCACTATAGTATAACCACATTTTGTTTTTCTAAGGCTGTGTATAACAATTTGAAAAAATACGCCTTTGTGGTTGTCAAAAAGAACTCTCAACTTGGTCGAAAAATTCAATAAACCCATATGGCGAAATATTCAGCGACCACTTTTTAAATCAAATCCTACAAATGTCTGTCTAACTGAAACTTTTTTCATATTCATTCAGATGTGAAAGTACATTTCTTATACGAATAGTTATTCGCTTGATCACCCGCTTTGACTGAGGTAGAGAGATAGCACATTTGCCTTTACAGCTTTAATAGCCATTTCGTCTCTACTCTTAGATGCAGCATTTTTGAGGTAAGAAGAATATGTCCTATTTGAATTTACACAGCCCAAATAATGGTCACTCCAAACCGATCAATTGCAACTAGTTAAAACACATCGAAATTTTTCTTGTCCTCATGGAGAATCTCACCGTCGTTTACTAGGTTTTAAAAAGAATGTGGAATTACGCGTCACAATCAGACTGAAACGCTTCTTACACTGAGAGAGTAGAATAGCTCAGCTGCTGGTCTTTTAAAGCCTACCATCTGTATAAATTTACTTTCAGTTTATATCTAGTAATTGTGACTCTTTGCTGATAATATCAGCAACGATTGCAGAGGTAAAAAGGGGCATTATCTGGCTTAGTGATGATTTGTGATTGGATTACGGATTAAACTTGTCGTTACATCAGTGATGAACAAAATCAGTGGGTGGCTATCGCTTCTTTTGGCTTTAAGCAGAAATGTAATATCTTCAAGCTATTAGAGATAAGTACAACTCATTATCACATGCATAAGTGTGATTCATGGACATTTCCAGCAGCCTAACTCAACACTCGGATTATAAAACTTCATACATATTACCTCTACGAAAAAAAAATAGGAGAGGACAAAGAAAACTATAACATTCAAGTTTCGAAGTCGTGTGATTATCACTGATATGACTATGAACAACCGTACCAGTGAGTTAATTTTATACATTCGAGGTGAGGTATTGGAAATGCTAAGACACTACTAAGTATAATCAGGTAAAAACATTGTATTTATCAGTAAAGTCTCTGAGTAACATGGTAAAATGATATCTTCCTGTCGTTACACATTACGTACCATAAATCAATGCTTAGGGACTGTAATCATTACATCCCAGGAGATGTTTTTACAATTTAAGCTGTCATAAATTCATATTTCTTCCATCTTATAGTGTTATTTTAACAAAAAATCTTGTTTCCATGTGCTAATAACTCGACTGTTCATCTTAATTTTTCACCGTTCGTATTTCAACCCGCAATATTCATAACCGAAGTTATTCAACTGAATTCCTTCACTTTACTCATTCCTGAAAAAGTGAGACTGACTGAACAAAATATATTTCGCTTGATAAAAATAACTTGTATATTTCAACAGAGATAATTAAAATCCTCCATCAAGACAATTTAAGCAAGGAAGTACTATTACCGTGGAGGATACTTATGAGTGTTTACCTTGTAGGGAAAACGACTAGGTGGTCTAAATTATTCGGTACAATACATAGTTCTGTGACCACAAATCGATGATTATCACTGCAATGATGCCATAACGTGGTTATTTTTGAAATCACCTTTTTTCAACTTGAACTGATTAAAGGTACATGAGAAGCATCAATGAAACTGCATAAAGATAGAAAAGATGCTTTGTCATAAAAGCACACACACACACTTTTACAATATTTCGGAATTAAGTCCATTTCGGTCGCTAAAACTTAACCTTTTTCTAAAGATGTTTGAATAACGATAAGAACAATCAACGTCAGAAAACATAAACATCTGACAACAGTTCACACCTAAAGAATTGTTGTACGTGTTTCAAAACAAAAAGCCCGACATAAAAAAGTTGCTATGAGTGAACTTAAAACAGGTTTCGAAACGCCGCACATTGTAATCAAATATAAAGACAGGTAATTTATAATTTATGGTGCTTACATAATGCTATAAACTATTTAGTCGTTTTTCCATAAAGCAACGAAACCAGAGCATGGGGCATTTTGATGATGCTGAATCCACTGATTGTAAATAGATTTCATACTACATAAAATTCATCACAAATCAACACCAATTTCAATTCAGTGCTTCTACATGGTCCAGAGACCCGCCGAGCGTAACAGAAAAGGTATTCTTAACAAGCCACTGCGAACTTTCATCAACAGTTGCTTTCGCTTGATACTGAAAAAAAGATAACCAGGAAAGATATGCAACACGGAACTCTGAAAGGTAGAGCGCTAGACAAAAACCTACCTTTCAATAAATACACAAAAGTGAAGGCGGAGAGGGCATACGCGGAGGAGACATCTAAGTGACGTCATATGTGGGTTCTGAGTGGGAGCAACGAGTTGGGTGTCTGAGAGTGATACAGAAGTAATCATGTGAACAGTATATGAGAGCTTCGGGACAACCAGGGAGCCAAATTAAAGACAGCAAATTGTCATGGAAATGTGCTGCTGAAGCTCTATGTTCCCTATGGATTTTACGAGACGAATAATAATAAATAGAATTTAGTCACTCAATACGAACCCTCTATATGTGATGGCTTTGTATAACGAAAAGATTTCATGAGAAAACACCTTTTGTAAACGCTTTTCCACTAAATTTAGACTTATTGTTTTAGGATAGAAGGCACGAAACCTGAGTTATTACTTTTCTAATCAATTCCTATGCTTGTCTAAACCCTTCTAGAAAAAACTAATTGAGGGTGCCGACTCAGCTCAGGTTTAGAAAATAACTTGTCTTACATGTAAGACGAATTTCAAAATCACATGCAAGTGAGAAGCCATCAACCATATTGAAGGAAATTTTATTTACATCTGTAGTATAATTAAGACCACAGATATTAATATGACATCTACTGCATAAAATTTGATTTCTGAGCTAATACACATTGTCGAGTTGTAGCGATTCTGTGTCTAAATAAACTGTATTTACCACGTAGACACTATTCCTTTTCGGCGTACTCATGCCTAAAGGGAGTTAAACTAATAATTTTGCTTACTTTGCAATTCTTCCGAGCTGGTATAAACCAGTCATAGCGACAAAAGCATTAACACTTAGGAGATTGTAGTTTTTGGGAATGATGACCACAGAATATCTGGACCAAATGATACCCGTAACTGCAAGGGCTGTACTCTGATAAAGACTAACATTTTCAACTGGTCGGTTAATATCTGCTAAACCAGCAATGACAAGAAGCTTTATAATATAAAGATTAAGTTTTCTGGTGCGTCTAGTTAACTAACCCATTTGAATGTTGGCGCCCAGAAGAATATGGTTTTAGGTCCAGCAGGATGATCCCATATGGGCTTTAAACGAGTGGGCACTGCCTTATCACCAACAGAAACCAGAGCCCTGTAAATGAAAGACATCTATTGGTCTCCAACGCGGCAGGACGAAAAGAGGCGTCGTCCTTGAGTTGTGGTGGTTACAAACAACTTTTGTGGGAAATTTTTGTGCTATTTCTAGGACGCAAAGCATTCACCTGATTTATGTCCGATTTCTTATTCGGATCTCGGAAGAAGTGTAAAAATTGTGCTGAACGTATCACTGCATATTACCGAATGGTTCTAAACACTGGTGGTCAGTTGATCCACACATCGTTTCTGGCTTTTAGATGGGGATAAAAACTTTCCTACCTATATCATTCAGTTCCTGATGAGGCTTACATTATGTGAGTGACTAGACAGATAAAGTTAAAGATCTCGCTCTAAAATGGCCTTGACCATTAAATATGACACTTCTGACAGATTATGTAGTATATTTCCGATGTGTTCCATGGACGATGACTACAGTTAGGTAAACTACTGGTCGAGTTGACAGTAACACATATTAGTTCTGGTGCTACTGGGAGATAACACAAAAAAATAAACAATCTACTTGCTTCTAATTACTTCATAGTCAGAAGTGTGCTTTGTAAAGGTGAGGAATTGCACAAAATCAACAACTAGTAACTGCATTGACAGTAGGAAATGTCCTATACTGCTTTAATAAGCCCAATAACTAAGACGTTCCTGGTCATCTGTAATAATAATACAACATGATTTGTGCCGAGTTCGGTTTTTTCCTTCGACTAAGAGAACTTGGTTCGATTTATTATTATTATTCTTATTGTATCCTTTAGTTCCTAGAGGAATATAAGGCTTCAGCTGCGCAACTCGATTGCCTTCGGTTTTCTGACAACTATTTCACCCTGCTCCAGGTATGTCCACATCCATTCATCTCACTCTCGCACTACCTCCTCCAAGTCACACTTCGAAGACCAACTCGCCGCCTCCCATCCAGGTTCCACTCGAGCGATGGCTTGCCTATGATGTCACTCGATGGTTTCCTCAGCGTATGGCCAATCCATCTCCATTTCTTCCTGCCTATTTGTTTCACAATCGGTTCCTGCTGTGTTGGTTCGCTCATTGCCAGAGATCCCTGTTGCTGATCTTTTCTGGCCATCTGATCTTGAATGTTGAGCTAAGACAACTGTTAATGAAGGTCTGAAGTTTGTTGAAGATGCTCTTTATGACTCGCCAAGTCTCTGATCCGTATAGTGAGTAGCACTGCCTTTACATTGGAGTTGAAAATCCGGATGTTATTTTTGATGCTGAGTGCTGTTGACCTCCACACAGATTTGAGAGTAATGAAAGCTTGTCTTGCTTTTCCGATTCTGGCTTTGATATCCTCGTCAGTTCCTCCTGTAGTTGAGACGATGCTTCCCAGGTAGGTGAAGGAGGCTGTTTCCTTCAGGCTCTTCCCACTTATGCTGATTGTTGTCTGTTGTTGTTGTTGCTGTTGATGTTGGCTGGGAATCTTCATCACCTCTGTTTTATCTATGTTCACTTGAAGTCCTATCTTTGATGCTTCTTCTATCGCCAACTTATTGCTTTTCACTTGAATATCTTCCAGTTTGTGGGAAATCAGACATATATCATCGGCGAAATCCAGATCCTCCAAGTCTTTTGTGTCAGTCCATTTTATGCCTGTTCCCTCGTTGGTTGCCGTTGTCTGTCGCATTATCCAATCTACTGCAATCAGGAAAATCATTGGCGATAGTAGACAGCCTTGCCTCACTCCCGTCCTCACTTCGAAGGCTTCCGTAAGTTTCCCGTTGTGGATTACTTGGCATGCAGCATTGTCGTATAACTGTTGAATGAGATGTATAATTGTCGATGGGACCCCGTAGTAGCGAAGTAGTTGCCAAATGACCTCTCGATCGACGCTGTTGAAGGCCTTTTCAAAGTCAAGGAAGTTGAGTGAGGTAGAGATGTGACTGCCATTCCAAGCTTTGTTCAATGATGATCCGTAGAGTGGCGATTTGATCAATTCATGATTTGTTTCTCCTGAATCCGGCCTGTTCCGGACGAAGTTTTTCATCTGGAGCTTGTTTGATTCTCTCCAGGATGATGCGACTAAGTATCTTGCTTGGAATGGACAGAAGCATAATTCCACGCCAGTTTTTACATTGACATAAATCTCTTTTCTTTGATAGTCTGAATAAGTATCCTTTCTTCCAGTCCTCGGGTACTTTGCCCTCTTTCGACACCTTCTCCAGCAGTGGCGTCATCAAGTCCGCTGTTGTCTCTGGGTCTATTTTCAATACTTCTGCTGGGATTCGATCTGGTCCTGCTGCTTTTCCAGCTTTTAGCATCTTGATGGCATTCAGGACTTCTGATTTCTTCGGGGGATCAATGTTCACTGGTAGTTCTGCTTCCGTTGTTGGTATTATTGGGCGCGTTGTAGGTGGCGGACGATTTAGAAGTCTTTTGCAGTGTTCAGCCCAGTGCATTCTCTGTTCCACCTCTTTAATGATTGACTTTCCATTGTCGTCCTTTATTGGCTCAATCTGTGTCGAACTTTTCCCGAATGGTGCCTAGTTGTTTGGTAGAGTGTGGCGAGGTCTCCTTCGCCTACAGCTTGTTCTGATTCACTTGCCATGGCTTCATAATATTTTCTTTTATCTTCCCTGGCACCCTTCTTCACTCTTTTGTTCAGCGTATTGTAGCTTGCACTCAGCCCCTGTTTTTGTTGCTCGTCAGTGCACTGGATAACCTTATGTTTCACTGTCCTTCTCTCTTCTATTAGTTTCCAAGTGTCCGTAGTGAGCCACTGTTTGTCCTATCTCTTATTTCTGCCTAGAATTTCTATGCAGGTTTGGCTCCACACGGTTTTCAAGTTGTTCCAGTGCTTTTCGACGCCAACCTCTTCGCTAGTGTTGATTTGTGTCTCGGCTTTGTCCTTTATGCTTGCAATGAAGATGTCCTTTGTAACCTGGTCCTTCAGCTTTTGAGTGTTGAACTTGGATTTTGGTCTGTTTGCAGCTCCTGATTCTGTGAAAGCTTTTAATTTGATTTGGATTGTCCCTTGTACGAGATAGTGGTCTGAGCCATCGTCTGCTCCTCTTCTTGCTTTTGTGTCCAGTAGGCTGCGCCTCCACTTTCTTGAGCAGTATTGAGATGAAGTCAATTTGGTTTTTGGTTTGCCCATCTGGTGACACCCATGTAGCCTTGTGGATATCTTTGTGCTTGTATACGCTGCCACGAATCACTATTTCTTTGAAGGCACAGAAGTCGGCGAAGAGTTCTCCATTTTCATTCATTTCTCCGAGAGCTTCTCTACCCATGATGAGTTCCCTTCCTGTGTTGTCTGATCCCAGTTTGGCGTTCATGTCTCCCATTAGTATTTTAATGTCGCCAGCTGGAGTATTGTCCATTGTTGCCTGTAGTTGCCTGTCGAATTCTTCTTTCTTTTCGAGGTCTGCGTTGTTTGTGGGTGCATAACATTGTATGATTGACACTTTCCTTCCTCTGGAGTTGAATCTGGTGGTCATTATCCTGGACGAGATCGCCTCCCATTGCATCAGGGCTTTCGTTGCCGTTGGTGACATCATGATGGCCACGCCCTCGGTGTGTGTGTGGTTATCTTCTGGGTGACCGGAGTAGATCACTGACTCACCCGTTGACAATTTGGTCAGTCCACTCCCATTCCATCTGCTTTCACATATTCCCAGCACCTGTATTCCGTATCTTTTCATCTCGTTGGCGATCTGGGCAGCTTTCACAGTCTCGTACATAGTTCGGACGTTCCATGTTCCCACACAGATTTTTTTGGTGCAAAGAGGTTCATCGTACTTTAGTTTCTTTAGCAATTTTGTTTACAGGGTGGGGTTGCTAGCCTCACGCCTGAGAAAGGAATGATTACATTTAGTTAATAATAATAATAATAGTATATTCTCATTTTGTACATGAGAGGCGCCAGTTTACAGGCATCATCAATATGATAAATTACATATACGTTTAGCAATCATAATTAATAATGTTTAAATAAAATACACATTTTTCCTACTTGTGTAGGACACCAAATATACAGTCACGGGTAAGCATTATTTAAATTTCATAAATTCGGTTTATGGTTAAATTGCATGGTTTGTGACGTTTTTGTCTTTGGTTTGTGGGAACAATGTGATAACCAGTCATTCAATGCAGCACATCATGAAATATAGGAATATTGTCTTCGCATTAACAAAAAAACCCAAGTAAGTTTTGGATGGATTAAAAATACTTGGGAATAAATAAAGCTTGAAGTTATTCCACAATATAACAAGTCATTCAATGGAGCACATCATGAAATATGGGAATATTGTCTTCGCATTAACAAAAAAAACTCAAGTATGTTTAGGATGGATTAAAAATACTTGGGAAAAAATAAAGCTTGAAGTAATTCCTCAATATAACTTGGGTGTGTACAAACCCGAATCTTATTTTTGATTTGATTTATATCCAAATTGAGTAATAAGGAAGAATCGGGACGTTGTATTACAAATAGATACTTTTCCATTGGTATAAGAGTATATTCCACAAATGTAATCCAGGTTGCGTCGTGGGGAAAGTTAATTCGTTATTAACTAGGCAACTGAAAGATACAGGACAAATAATGTTTGCAGATCACTTGTCATTGTAAATGGTCAAATATCCACATTATTCATTCTCATTCAAAAAGTCAAATGGAAGCTGAAATGGCGAGAGAAAAAAGAAGACAAACAACAGCACCGCAAAAGAAAGCAACGGGAGTCCTTAAGGAGTGATTAATAAATATATACTTATATATTCTGTTTTGTAACTATGCTTATTTTTGTTCATTAACTAACTAGTCCCGTTACGCTAACTTTTATATTATGTGTGAACTAACATTACTGTCCTGTGTAGAAATGTTTATCATCTAGTTCCAATAATATTCAAATTTATAATTGTAGTTGGTTGTAACTACACGTTTAAAGAACTTAAAATATCTATGTAGGATGAAAAAGAAGGTGTAAGAGTCAGATGTAGAAGTGCATTGTCATCTTTGAGTAGTCTGGTGACTGAGGAGATGAACACTGGAAGTG